CCAAGCAGTGTTCAGGAACACTCCCAATGGTTCTACTCTCCCCTCTCGTGGTATTGTTTCCCCTGGGATCCTATGGTAGGATTTCCAGTGAGGAAATGAGGCCTGGGGAGATGGGGAAGAGCACATGGATTGTTGCTGGATTCAGTTCTCAGGACCCACATTGTGCCTTGCAACCATGCATGACCGCAGTTCAAGGGACCCAGTGCCGTTTTCTGACCTCCGTGGTCTGTGGCACACATGTGCATAGACTTATGTGAACCAAGCACTCAGACACATTAAAAAAATTTTAAAACCAGGAATGAATCTTTCAGGCAAGTAGATAGATACCATTGGGGGTAGTTGAACCCTTGTTTATTGTGGAAGGACACATGCCATTGGGCACATATGGAGTTAATACAGCAACTTAAATTTTGGGTTGTTTTTTTCTGAGACGGGGTTTCTCTGTGTAGCCCTGGCTGTCCCCAAACTCATTGTGTAGACCAGGCTAGCTTCAAATTTAGAGCTCCACCTGCCTCTGCTTTCAAGTGCTGGGATTAAAGGTGTAAGCGTTTCGGGAAGATGGGGATGGGACAGGAGGTATTCTGGCACTTGGGAGCCACAGAATACTGATTGTTACACAGATCAGATGGAAAGGTATCCTGGAGCTCGGGAGCCAAGGATACTGAGTGTTACACAGCTCAGGTGGAAAGGTATCCTGGAGCTCGGGAGCCAAGGACCACCACAGGTTGCAGTAAGCTTAGCAGCTAACAGCCCAGCCTCAGGGAAAGGCTTCCCCAGTGTGTCGGCTCCTGAAAGGACAGGGTCTTCCAGCTGGGGATGTTCGCCTAGTGTAGCAGTTTTGCTCGCAGGAGGTTTCTCGGGGGAAGTTGCTACAGTTCAGCTCTGCTCCCAGAGAGCTGAGATCGGAGGAGTGTAACAACTCCGTTCTGCCAAGGGAAGGTTTCCCTGGCAAAAGTGTTACAGCCCTGCTCGCTCTGCTCTGCCCAGGGTCGCCTCTGCCCCGCCACCGCTGAAGCTCATTGAAGGGGTTCATTGGAAGGACACAGCTGGACAGGCCAAGCTGAACATACGCAGGGTTTATATAGGGATTCTTGGGGGCGGGGGAAGTTTTTCCAGGGTAGGGATTGGTCAGATTTCAGTGCTGAGCTCAGATTGGCTATAGCTCCTACCCCACGCTGGTGAGGCAAGAGATGGGCGCCATACTTGAAGAGCCTGCGGGAAGCTGAGACTACCTCTGAGCTCTCGGATAGACAGGGAACTAGTGTCGGAAAGCTCGGGAACTTAGTTGCTGGGCTGCAGAAGAGATGGAGGGGCCAGGCGGCCCGCCCCGGGGAGTTGACAGTGTGTCGGGGCTGACATCTGGGCCTACATCGTGCAGCACGTGCGTAATCAAAGGCATATCAATCAAGAGGATCCCTGGATCTTCTGGTGTGGCCATCAGGACAATCCAAAGGTCCGTTCGAAGTAGGAGCGGGTAGTCACTGTAGCCTGCAGGCATGCAGAGATCCAAGGGCCAGCCGAGAGACTGAGGCTCGGGACATTACCGTAGCACAGACACTGCAGAGCCCACGGGAAACCCGTCATGGGACTCTTCTCCTCTAGGCCCAAGCTGGGGCTGTGCCAAGATAGCAACTTGCGCTGCAAGTCCCCAGACAGAGACTGCAGAATCAGCTCAGTGCCTTCAGAACGTGCAGTAGGAAGCCAAAGTGGACGTGACCCGTGGACCTCCGGTGTCAGCAATGCCAGCTCTAGAGCCTGAGGTGTTGCATGATGTCCCGACAGCCTGCTGAAAGGTTCGGGCACCAGACTGGCCCGCCCCTGCCACCTGGCAGAATGCACTCAGGCAGTACTCTGGTCAGCCCAGGGTTCCTTGAGTACAGTCTGCTCGCGGGTGCAAAGGACCCTTTAGAAAACAGACCCGGCCCACTTACGCTCTCTTTCCTTTCTTATCTCTTCTTCGCGCTTCCCTCTCTCTCCTATGCCCGTTTTCTCTCTCTTCTCGTCTCTCTTGTCAGTCTCCGCCCTCTTGCTCTCCCGCCGCTGTAATAAACTATGATTAATGTGCTCGCCATGGCTCGTGCTCCGTCGCCACGGTCCCGGTTTCCATCTCTCCCACCTTTCGTCTCTTTTTCTAATTATTAAACTTTTACAAAATAACACCTGCTCCCTCTGGACTCGGTTCCTGCAGATCCTCCTCATTCCTCAGGCCAGGGGAGGCAGCATCCTCGGCCCTTGCGAAGACCATGTAGGAAGTTCCCCTGCAGGCCACATCCTGGCTGCCTCGGAAGTACCCAGCTTCAGAGCGGGAGGTGGAGCTCCAGTCCCCAGGCAGTGGGGATGGGCTGGCTCCGAGAAGAAGAGATGTCCTGGCGGCAGGCACCGGACCCACGGAACTCATCTCATCCACTAGTTAACCCAGAAGAGTGCACGCTTGAGTGAGCCATACGGGCTGATTGGCTGCCGCCAGAGCCTGGTGGAGGAGGAGGAGAGCCTCGCTCCGGGATCGAGTGTCAGGAAAGTACTGGGAGCAGAGCACGAGGCTTTTCATGTCTAGAGCCAGGAACTGGGGGATGAGGTTGGCCACCGGCAACTTCCGCTGAATTCAGGAGGCTCCGTCCAAGCATCCGCGAGTCCTGCAGCTGGTGGGGGAAAACCAGGAACAGATCCGCCTTCTCATCAAGGGAAACTCAGTCAGCAAGACCCGCCTGAGGCCAGAGGAAGTTCTGATGCGGTGGAAGGTTGCTCCACCACAGAGGCAGTGGTACTGCAGAGTCAGGAACCGCACCGGCTTGAAGGAGGACATTCCGCTGGGCCCTTTTGCTGGTACCAAAGGGCCGAAGCGGCTATCCAGGATCCTACCATGCATTCAGCCATCAGCTGCTCCCCAAAGCCTCGAGGAGTTCCAGCCTCATCTCACCGAGCCATTCGCTGGGGCTGCCTGTAGGGAAAGCACCCCAGCTACTGCGTCTCAAGGCTGCCTCTCTCCACTAAGACCGCCTGTTTCTCCAAGATCGGTGGGGTCTCCACGGAGGAAATCACCTTCATGTGAAGACCAGTCTGCCTCTGGGAACATCCAGCAGGAGCTGCTGCAGATCCAGTGTCTCAAGAAAAGGGGCAGAAAGAGGACAGGGCAGACCCTGAGGTAGCTGGAGGATCTGATGGTACCGGCACTGGAGCGAATACCCAAGCTGCAGCCGCTCTTCTGGGACTGCTGGCAGCAGTCTGACCAGCCACCCTCTCTGGGGAGCTCTGCCAGGGCCTGTCCGTGCCCCAGGGGCAGCTATGCTGGGGCCAGGCCTGTGGAACACTGCAGCAGCTACAGGAATGGAGAGGCAGCTGGGAGCACAGTCAAGAATGGCAGCTTAGCCCGGTGGTGTGAGCCTATTGCCTCTACTCAGGAGGCTGCTGTCGGTTTCCAAGCCAGCCTGGCCTACACAGCAAGTTCCCAGAGAGCCTAGCCTACATAATAAGAACCTATTTCAAAAATAAATAGCATTTAACCCCCGCCTCAACAAAGCATTTGAGAAATAAAAATAAATTCCAAACCTAGACTTGGCTATTAAAAGCACATACTACTTTTGCAGAGGACTTGAGCTCAGTTCCCAGCACTTTGTGTGGAATGTTATTTTAGGATGCTGCATTTGCTTAAGCTGTGGAACATTTGTTTTAAAGATGCAAAGATGTGTTGCTTTTTTTTTTATGTTGCATTTGTTTAACTGTGTGAAGCTGCACTGCTTTGCCTGTCTAAAGCATCTGATGGTCAAATAAAGATCTGAACCGACAATAGCGAGACAGGAAAAGGATAGGCAGGGCTGGCAGGCAGAGAAGGAAAAGATCTGGGAAGAGAGGAAGGAGCAAGAAAAGAAGGGGCCAGCCACCCAGCTACACAGCCAGACATGGAGCAAGACGGAAAGAAAAGATACGCAGAAATCGAGAAAAGCAAAGCCCAGTGGCAAAAAGAAGACGAATAATTTAAGAAAATAAGTGCCTGGCTAGAAACAGGCCAAGGGAAGCCAGGCACTTATAAGTAAAAGTAAGATTCCGGGGCTGGAGAGATGGCTCAGAAGTTAAGAGCACTGACTGCTCTTCCAGAGAACCTGAGTTCAATTCCCAGCAACCACATGGTGGTTCACAGCCATCCATAATGAGATCTGGCGCCCTCTTTTGGCTTCCAGACAGACATGGAATCAGGCTGTTGTATTCATAATAAATTAATCTTAAAAAAAGATTCCATGTGTGTTTATTTGGAAGCTGGGTATTGTGCCCACGAAGAGCCAAAAGTAAAATCAACCAACTACAACCACCCATGTGAGATGACTCACAATTGTTTGTAAGTCGTTCAGGGGGACATGACACCCTCTTCTGGCGTCCTCAGGCACTGCACTCACATGGTGACTGTACATACAGTCAAGCACACACGAGCACACTATTTAACATTATTAGTTTCTTTAGTAAAACCTGGCTTTCTCTCCCTTCTATCTGTATTTCAAGTTCCTCCGTGCTCTTTTTGTAGAATAGCTGATGAGACCGAGTGGATGGTCACGTCTGAAAAGTGTCCCTTTTGCAAGATTACGAAGGGGGTGAAGGTTGTTGCGCTGAAGGGGAATAGCAGTCGGCAGAAGTGATTCAGACTAAGAGTCCCCAAACTCAGGTGACCATGCAAATGATCTCCAAGGGAGCCTGCCAGCTGGAAGGACTTGCAGATACCAGGAACTGCAGTCGCGAAGGCTCTAGAAGGGCGGCACTTAACACAGTCTCCCACAGAAAGCTGGGAAAGCTTTGTGGTTAGAGCACTTTGGTCTTAAGAAACGCTACGGACGGCCGGGCGTTGGTGGCGCACGCCTTTAATCCCAGCACTCGGGAGGCAGAGGCAGGCGGATCTCTGTAAGTTCGAGACCAGCCTGGACTACCAAGCGAGTTCCAGAACAGCCTCCAAAGCCACAGAGAAACCCTGTCTCGAAAAAAACCAAAAAAAAAAAAAAAAAAAAAAAAAGAAACGCTAAGGACGCTGTTGCAAACCTGAAGCTGTGAGCTCTAGTCTGGGTTCTTCACAGCACCACTTCCGCTCTTGAAAAGCTAGGAGGAACCCTGAGAATTCTGGGAAATGTAGTTCACCACACTCCCATCCCCGGATTCTAGGATAACTTCCGTCGCAGGAGGCTCAGAGGGCCGCCCTGCTCTGTCGGGAATTTTGGGAAATGTAGGTCGGGAATCCACGGAGACCCTCTGGAGTAGTCTGTAAATCGCCCCTGCTCCCCTATGGAATTCTGGGAAGTGTAGTTCAGGCGGCCCGTGCGGGAAGAGCCACTTCCGCCCCAGGTGAGCGAGGCCTGTGTTTCTCCCGGAAAGGTGAGCCGTCCCTCCGCCGTCCCCTCCCGCGTCTGCCGGGCACTTTTCGGGTTGCCCTGGGCGGTAGCCCGGAGGCGTGCATCCCGGGGAAGGGAATCCGCCTCAGGAGGGCGGGACGCGAGTTGGCGCTGAGCGAGCCGCGGCTGCGCACACTGATCGGGCCTGGCCGGGGGCTCTGGGGGTCCCGGGCCTCGTCCCGCCCCGCGCGTCCCCCTCCCCGTCTCCCCAGCCACTGTCGCCCGCGGGGCCGCCGAGGAGTCCGCGGTCTGCGCCTCTGCCTGCGTTTCCCCGCGACACTGGGGACCTAGTGTCCCGCGAGGCTCCCACAGCCGGCGCCGCGGGAGACGGGGCGTTCCCGCTGTCGCTGCTTTCCCGGGTCCGGGGGCTCCGGGGACCACAGATGCCCGGAGCTCCCGCTGTGGCTCCCCGGCCCCACCTCACCCCTCCGCCCGAATCCTTAGCGGCTCGGCTTTGGTTTCTGTTGGTTCGATCGCCCCCGGCGGTTGCCTCCAGTGTCCACTTATGGGGGCGGCTGCTGAGGAAGTCCGGGTCTCACGTCTGCCTTCCTAATCCTGTGTTTGAAAAAGACGTCGGGCACAGAGGCAGCGGAACGCGGTGTAGGTGACCGAGTGAGAAATGACCCCGTCGTCTCTGGCCCAAAGTTAGGGGAAGGTGCTGTTTCTGGAGGTTGAGCTTTGCTGGGGCGAGGGTGCCGTGCGCTTGAGGGGCAGGTGAGGCTCCGAGGATGAAGGTTTCACCTTGCTGCAGTTTGCTCTCCATTGTTGTGCTTTGGATTCAAGATGGGAGCTCCAGACACCTGTTGTCATGGTGTCCCTGCTGTCATGGAACCCTCTGGAACCCGAAAGCCAAAGTGAATGCTTCCTTCTACAAGTTTCCTTAGTCATGGTGTTTTATCCCAGCTACAGAAAAGTCACTCATAGACATGGGCAGAGTTCAGCATCCTTCCTTCTCGGGTGTGTGTTTGTTCGTTGAGAGATCTGGCTGTGAAGCTGCCCTGATATTTTTTGAGTAAATTCTAGAAAGGATGAAGAAATAAATACTTGGGCCTAAGCAATAAGGACGTTATGTAAATAAAGATTTAATATTCAATAATTAAGGGTTTTCTAGCCAGTTAGCAACTGCAACTCTGACAAGAGCTTTCTTGGTTACTGACCCATCATTCTCACGTAATTCACTTATTTCTATTACATCTGTTCGGGGGGAAAGTGAAATCTGTTTTTTATAACTCAGATTAAAAATTCACTTAACTACCAGAAAATAAGAATATACCTGGGCAATGGTGACTAAAACGTTTAATCTCAGCACTCAGGCGGCAGAGGCAGGCGGATCCCTTTGAGTTTGAGGCCAGCCTGGTCTACAGAGTGATGTCCAGGATAGCCGTTACACAGAAAAAAAAAGAAAAGAGAAGAATACTAAAGTATTTTCTTTACATCCTGGGTCCATAGATAATTGTATTTCCTTATAATCCGTGTATTTTCGTAATCTAATATACCATGCAGTCATCTCTCAGCAGGTAAAGTCCCTTGCCACCAAACCTGATGTCTGAGTTTGGTCCCCAAAACTCATGATGGAAAAAGAGAATTGCTATAACATGCATAAATCCCCCTACCCACAACTAAGTCAATGTTAAGAGAAAAGAAGTGGAATTGGGGATGGAGAGATGACTCAGTGATTCACAGTGCTCACTGTTCTTGCAGAGGCCCCAGGGCCAGGGGCCTCATAACCACCTGTAATTTTAGTTCCCAGGGACCCACTGACCTCAGAGGACACTGTGTGCAGTGAGGCAAATAGATGAGCAGGCATACACATAATGAGAAGTAAAAGTTAAAACATTAAATGCAACATTGAAGTCCTCAACCTGTATATTAAAAAAATAATAATTAAATTACACGTGCAAGACCCTAGGTTCTACCCGAGCCCTGTGAGAGAGAAAAGGCATAAAACGTGCATCTTTCTTAGCTAGAGAATTTATCGTCTATAGCAAAGCACATGCAACCCAAACAAAAGTTTCAGTATTTCACAAGTAGGTTTTAAATGGCAGCATTAAGCATGCTGTGGGCCCTTCAAGATGGTTGGGCAGGAAAAGGCACCTGCTGTCAAGCCTGCCGACCTCAGTTCAATCCCCAAACCCACATGTTGGAAGGAGAAAACCAACCCCAACAATTGTCCTCTGACCTCCATAGACATGGTATATTACATACATGACCACATAAGAAGTAAATAAAACTTATTTTTAACAACCTAAAATGTGCACTGTGAGCAAGTAGATGTGTTTGTTGCAATCCCAGATCAACTGATAAAGGCAAACAAATTCTGAAGCTACAAGATAAAATGAATGCAGTGGTGAAAATACATACATACATTCGTACATACATACATACATATATGTGTACGAACGTACATACGTGCATACATACATACACACACACACACACACACAGCCCAAATGGAAGCAGACAGTGAGTAGGGTAACCAGAACCAGAGAGGACAAGTCTCAAGAAGAAGAATACAGTGGTGGGCTGAAATCCAGCCACCTCAGGAGTTACAGCATGCCAATTGTTCTGCTTTTACAACTGTTGCTCTGATAAAATCCTCTGAGGAAAAGCCACATAGAAGGGAAAGAGTTTATTTCAGCTTAGGGTTCCAGGTTCCAGTCCATGCTGTGGAAAAGTCACAGCAGGAACTTGAAGCAGCTGTTTGCATCTCACCCAGAGTCAAGAGCAGAAGAAACTCATGCATGCATGCATACTTGCTTGCTGGCTTCTGCTGAGCTTAGTTTCTCTGCTCTTCTCCAGTTCAGAGCACTTTGCCTAGGGAATAGTGCCTCCTACAGTGGGCTGGGGAGACGGCTCAGAGGTTAAGAGCATTGGCTGTTCTTCCAGAGGTCCTGAGTTCAATTCTCAGCACCCACATGGTGGCTCACAACCATCTATAATGGGATCTGATGTCTTCTTCTGGCTTGTAGGCACTCACACCTAATAAAAATACATAAATTTTAAGAGAAAAGATGCCCACAGGATATGGTAGATGATCCATTATTCAGATTCAGTTTCCAGGTGATTCTGGGTTGTTTCAAGTTTGTCTGAAAGCTAACCATCACACTAATAAACCAAATGCATTAAAAAGATTACAGATTGGAACTAAGTCATGGTGGCACATCCCCGCCCCTCACTTGGGAGTCTAGGCACATACTCTACCACTGGGCCACGCCCCCAGCCCCTCACTGGGGGATTCTAGGCAGGGGCTCTACCACTGGGCCACGCCCCCAGCCCCTCACTGGGGAATTCTAGGCAGGGGCTCTACCAGTGAGCCACACTCCATCCCCTCACTGGGGTCAGAGGGCAGGAGCAATTCTCTGATGCAGAGTAGAATTCACTTCTGGGCATTCATGGGCACATAGAGAATTTTTATTCCTTACGGTAGATGTCCATGCCTGGGGCACAGAATCCCAGCAGCTCTTAACACTGAGTGCCAGCTCTAACAACTGTTTGCAGATGACAGAATCGAAATGGAGAAGGTTAATGAGCTAAAGAGCACACTAGCACAACACACCTTTAAACAATTGCTAACGTCTATTTAGTGTGTGTGTGTACCCTTTAAACAATTACTAACGTTTGTTTAGTGTGTGTGTGTACACAAGCATATGTCAGAGGACGACAGCCTGTGGGAGCCAGCTGTCTCCTTCCATGTGGGACTTGGGGATTAATCTCAGGTCATCAGGCTTGGCAGGAAGCACCCTGACCTGCTGAGTCATCACAGCCCATTACCTGTTTCTGAACTAGGCGTTTTGTCCCTTGATGATACTTAGAGCCAATACATTTCATTACCCTCCTTCACCGCATCTCCCAGGGTGGGTGAGAACACTCCAGGAGATGTCCAGTGTTGATATCCTGGCATTATGCTGACCCCGCCCACTGTAGGAGGCACTATTCCCTAGGCAGATACTTAGACAGCGCAGAGGGCCCAGAGTTGTGTGGCTATGCCGTGCGTTATGTGGCTGTGTGAGTAAGGCCTCTGTTTGCATGTGCAAGCTTTCCTTTTTAGGCAAGCACATCCTGCCTGATCTCTGTCTTTCCATTTCCGCTCCCGGTTGGCCAACACCAACACCAACCCCTCCCTTCCCGCCCTTTCCCAATAAACTCCACGTGGGTTTTGTTGAGTTTGGTGGTTCATGTTTCATCTCTGGAAGCTGCAGCAAACAACATCCAGTGTGAAGTAAGAACTCTGGGCAGGCTGTCCCTGCCTGCAGCCTGGGTAGGACATCGGGGATAGCCGGGATGTGCGTGTGCCTGCCTCTGGAGGGGAGGGGCGCTCCATCTCTCCTGGACTAAGTTGTATTTTCCCTCTCATGTGTCTGTCATCCTGTCCTGCCTTCCCAGGTCTCCACCAATTCCTAGAAAAGAGGAGGAGAAAATGGCCCAGTTGCAGGTGAGTTGACTTTCATCTGTGCCGTTTATGCTGTGTCTTAGTCACGGTTTCTGTTGCTGTGAGGAGACAGCGTGACCTCGGCAACTCTTTCAAGGAAAGCATTTAGTCGGGGTGACTTACAGTTCAGAGCTTTAGTCCATTACCTTGGTGGTGGCATGCAGGCAGCCATTGTCATGATAAAGCGTGAATGGGGGACCTTGGCGATTCCATGGCGGGTGAAGTCGCACGAGGCGGAGGGAGAAGCATGCCAGGTAGACAGAACTCAGTGAGAGTTTATTAGAGAAGGGTGGGGGTGGGGTGGAGGAAAAGAGGTGAAGAGACAGAGAGGACATGTGACACCTGGAGGGGATCCCCGACCCTCGGGGATGAGGTGATGAGGGTCGCTACTAATTTGGTGGGTCTTCACGAGCAGATCCGATCTTAAAAGTAAACTTCAAGAGGTTAAAGGAAACAGGCTCAAGACAACTTTTGCTGATCAAGAGCGTTTATTTTTGGGGTGAGATGGTTCTTATAGAAAAAGAATCTCGGGGCGGTACAAGCATGCCGATCAAGTCTCAACTCAAATATACACCGAATAAGGTAAAGACGAAGCTGTAATTTTCCATCAGTCATTAGTTGCATTCCACAAATGCTTGTCAGCGTAAGTCAAGTGCAGGAATTAGGGAGGGGTAGGAAGTATTCAAAGGAACACATTTTAACCTTTTGCCAACAAAGGCAATTGCTCTGTAAGGGTTACTTCCCCCTGGCTAGGCGGGTGGGCTGCCCTGTGTAAATTTAACTTTTATGGTTAACCTTTCCCTTTGTCTCAAGGGCATGTGTGCTCGAAGTCACATAGGCAGAAGGCCAAGAAATGGCTGACAGACTCCATTTTGTTCAAGGTTCTAGCAGTCCCCAACAAGGACAGAAGAGGGGAGCGCAGGAAAGAGCGTAAGAGGGCGGGGCCTGTCTTTTAAAGGGTCCTTTGCGCCTGCGTGCAGACTACGCAGTCATAGACCCTGGGCTGACCAGGGTACTGCCTGACTGCATTCTGCCAGGTGATGGGCATGCCAGCGCAATGCCTGAATCTACAGCCATGGTTCTGGGAAGGAGCTGAGAGTTGTACATCTTGATCCATAGGCAACAGGAGACCGTGTGCCACACTGGGCCTAGCTTGAGCATGTGAGACCTCAAATCCTGCCTCCACACTGACACACTTCCTCCACGAGGGCCACACCCCTCAGAGTGCCAGTCCCTGTGGCCAAGCATTCAGACACATGAGTCTGAGGGGTCACAACCTGTTGGAACCACCACACTCCCCCATGTCTCAGCGTGGATGTTCCCCTCGTAGACCAGGGTGAGGAGTGGCAGCTGGTACTGGGCCATCTGTGTGTTAGTTGCATAAAAAAATCTTCCCGAGCATATTCTACAATATATCTGTTTATTCATGGGGTAAACACTCATACCACAGTGTGCCTGTCCAACTCAGACTGCAGCTTTGAAGAATGTATTCCTTGGCTTCCACCATGTGGGTTCTGGGATTGAACATAGGTAGTCAGGGTTAGGGCAAGAGCCTTTACCTTCCGACTTTCCTTCCTAGCTCTCATCTGTTCCGCTTGAGTCAATCCCTTTTGTGTGTGTGTGTGTGTGAGATAAATTTTCTTTTGTCCCCCTGTCCCTACCCGCAGGACATTCAACGTGGGTCTGGTAGAATCCTAGGAGAAGGATGGAAGGCAGGGGATACAGGAATGGGCGCCAAGACAGGATTCTGATCAAGGCGGCCAGTTTATTTCATCACAAAGGGATTTATATAGGAGAAGTGAGGAGGGGAAGGGGGAAGGTGTACTTGTAGCTGCAGGGGCAAGAGGTCAGTGGGAGAGGTGGTCTGCTGCATTGCCTGGCAACCTAATCTACAGGGCAAGAGGTCAGGGGTAGGAACTCCTATGTTGCTTGGTAACCTGACAGCAGGGCCCGATCATATCTATCACAATTTACTATTGCTCAGGCCTGTCTCCTGAGGATGTTGTAGTTTCCAACTAAGCTAGTCTTTAACTGACAGATAAACTGCAGGCCTGTTTCTTGGACTTTGCTGTATGGCAGAAGAGGTGGCAGGGTGGTCTTAGTGTCACGTCTTCTCTATGAGTACGAGATACGGCCTCGCTGACTGATGGCTGCAGGTCCCTGACATCCCCCTCCCTTTTTTTTGTTTTGAACGAGGGTCTTACTGTAAAGCCTGGGCTAGCCCCATCATCTGCTCCCTATTCCTCGGTGCTGCAAATACAGACACATCATTTTTATTCTGTAGATGAACTGTGTAAAAGAAAATGGAGGTTCTACAATTACACACTTCCTTATCTTGTTTCTGCACTCCCTGTGGCCATTTGGAGCCACATCCCTGTTCCATGTGCTGTGATGTGCCTGGGATTGGACACTCTCCACTTGGCGCTGTGCATCCCAGGTCTTGTGATGCTGTGGCAGGGAACTGTGATGACCCCGCCATTTGCACTAAGCTGTTCCCCACCCACAAACTTGCAAATTCCTGAGGCATCCCACATTTCCCTAAGGAGAACCTTGACTCAAAAAACAGCTTTTGAGGCTGGCCATGTAGCCCAGGACAATGAAAGCATGAACAGCAGTCTGAGAGACATGTCAACTGTGTGACATTCTAGAGACTCAACTGTGTAAATGTCTATATACATACATACACATACATGCATACATACAAGAATACATACACACACAGACTCAACTGTGTAAATGTCTATATACATACACACACAGACTCAACTGTGTAAATGTCTATATGCATACATACACACACACATAGACTCAACTGTGTAAATGTCTATATACATACATAACATATACACACAGACTGAACTGTGTAAATGTCTATATACATACATAACATACACACACAGACTCAACTGTGTAAATGTCTATATACATACATACACACACATAGACTCAACTGTGTAATTGTCTATATACATACATAACATACACACACAGACTGAACTGTGTAAATGTCTATATACATACATATGTACATACACGTGTGCACACAGACTCAACTGTGTAAATGTCTATATACATACATACGTACATACACACATGTGCACATAGACTCAACTGTGTAAATGTCTATACACACACACACACACACACACACACGCCTGCACACCAGTGCATTCGTACCTCTAAGGTGACACCTGAGATACTTTATTGTCTTTATTTCATTTCACTTTATTTTATTTTACTTTAGGATTTGTATATTTTTTTATTTTATGTGTGTGAGTATCCTGCCAGCATTTACATCTGTGCAACATGTGTGTGCCTTGTACCCATGGAAGCTACAGAGGGCATCAGATCCCCTGGAACTGGAGTTAGAGAAAGTTATGAGCTGTCATGTGGGTACCAGGAACCAAACCAAGGTCTTCTGCAAGAGCAGCCGGTGCCATTAACTGCAGAGCTGCTTATAAGAGTCAAAGTGTAGTTATGTTAGTTAGATCTTCTTGATATGCAGAGATAATTTCAAATGGAGTCTTCAATTGCAAAGACCTACAGAATATGGCATTTAAAATGGTTTAGGGTTTTTCATGACAGTGAGACACATCTGCTCCTGGCAACACCTATTACCTCAGAGAGGAAGGAGGGCATCAAAGAAACTCGTCATGGAGATTGCTTTCAATATGGCAAGACTAGCCATTTGGGCAAGAAACTGCTCTTGCCTGGACTGTTGGACCTTTGCTGTATAACCTGGACATGCAGGACCCACAGGAAATTGACTGCTGAACTTGAAAAAATCAGATGGGATAGTCCTTCAGGGTTCCTGCTTCACGGAAGAGTCTGCAGGACAGAGAGAAATGACTGACAAACTGTTAATCCGCCAGTACAGGTGGATAATTTAAAATTTCCTGCTTCACTGAGAAGTCTGCCAGACACACTGTGGCCTATGGGCTGAAGATGGGTGCCCCAACATTACAGAGGAACTTTGGGTGACTGTCCAGGCAGTGAGATGTCTCTGTCAATTCTAGAGTTTATATATTATCCTTCTGAGGTCTTTGATGAAATTGAAGACAGATAGTTATGGTTATGGTTTTTCTTAGTTATGATAAAATGTAAGTTACATATAAGACTTTAGACTCACAAAGATAGGATAGGTGATAGAATGCTTTCTTTACATTTTGACAATTGTTAATGGACTAAATATTGTTAACTATAGCTTCTGCTAGATAACTGTTATATATAGTTTTACTGTGTTAAAGTTACAAACCCTTCTTTTTATTTAGACAGAAAAGAGATGGTGGGGGATGTCCTTTTGTATATGTTTCCCTGATTGGTTGATGAATAAAACACTGGTTGACCAATAAAGGCAGGAAGATAGGTGGGACTAGGTGACGAGGAGAGTTCTGGGAAAGGTAGTCAGAGAGGTGCCTTGAAGAAACGCCATGTAACCACCAAAGGAGAACCAGGTCCAGACATTCTCTGGTAAGCCCAGACCTCATAGAAATACATAGATTAATAGAAATGTGTTAATAGTTAAGACTCCCTATCCATCAGCCAATAGTTTTATAATTAATGTAGCATCCGTGTGTTCATTTGGGGCTGAAGCTGTGGAACCTGGCGGGACAGAAAACTCCAGCAAAAGCCGCCAGTTTCTTTCATCACAGTTTCTGACACTCTGGGCAGAGAGAGAGAGACAGAGAAACAGAAACAGAGAGAGTATGTTTTCTCCATTTATGCCTTGGGTTAATTGAATGTAAAAGTCCTCAGCACTGCAAGGCACAGTCACTCTCCGTCCATCTCGGGGCAGGATCCCTGACACTGTTCCATGAGGATGAGAGATCCATGTTCACACAGGACATTGAATGTTCTGAGGCCTTTGTCTTCTGGGTCAAACAGCTAGCCTTGTTTAATAGAAAGTCAGAGTGATAAAAACAGAGGGCAGGGCCGAGCAGTGGTGGCCCATGCCTTTAACCCCAGCACTCGGGAGGCAGAGGCGGGCGGATCTCTGTGAGTTTGAGGCCAGCCTGGTCTACAAGAGCTAGTTCCAGGACAGCCTCCAAAGCCATACAGAGAAACCCTGCCTCAAAAAACCCAAAAACAAACAAACAAACAAAAAAACAGAGGGCAGATCAGAGCAGGGCAGGGCAGAAGAGAGCAGGGTGGAGGAGTGCAGGGCAGATCTCTCCATCCACAACCAAGGCAAGATGCTCAGAAACTTGTGCGGAGCAGGCACAGGTTTGAACAGTCTACAGCATCAACATCTAAGATCTCTCTCTATCGCAAGCCAGATAACAAAGCAATAAGCAAAATGTTTGCAGTGTAAAGGAAGTGAAAAACACTGTGTCTACTCAGTGATATTAGAGAAGAGGCAATAGTGATGGTGTCCAAGGTCAGGAGATGGCTCAGTGGTGAGGAACCTTTCTGCCAAAGCTGATGACCAGAGCTTGATCTGTGGGACCCAGACATTAGCAGAGAACAGTCTCCCGAATGTTGTCATCTGACCTCCACAATGCACCATAGCATGCATGAGCTCCCCAAGACACACACACACACAGAGAGAGAGAGAGAGAGAGAGAGAGAGAGAGAGAGAGAGAGAGAGAGAGAGAGAGAGAGAGAGAGAGAGAGAGAGAATAACATTTTAAAAAGAGATAGCTAAGCCGGGGGTTGGTGGCACACGCCTTTAATCCCAGCACTCGGGAGGCAGAGGCAGGCAGATCTCTGTGAGTTCGAGGCCAGCCTGGTCTACCGAGCGAGTTCCAGGACAGCCTCCAAAGCTACAGAGAAACCCTGTCTCGAAAAACCAAAACCAAAACAAAACAAAACAAAAAAAGAGATAGCTAATATGTGGAAAAAGACGGATTGTTACTGAATAGATGTAATTGGTGAGCTCCAGATTCAGTGAGAATATTCTGTCTGGTGAAGCAAGGTGGAAGGGGTCAGGAGATGGCTCAGCAGATAAGAATTCTTGTGCACAATCTTGATGATCTGAGTTCAGTCCTTGGAATCTATGTAAAAAGCCAGATGTGGTGGTGCACATCTGTAGCCCCACTATAGAGGGAGCAGGAGAACCAACAGGAAGCCGGCAGCCTAGCTGCTTGGAATACGCAGTATGACAGAAACTGCAAGAGAAACTGTAGCTTGCTCTGTGCATCTGCAATGTTGAAGGCCAGGACCAACTCCTGAAAGACCTCCACATACACGCCATGTCATGTGCAGAGATACAGACATATGCACATGCACACCTACAGACTCACACATGGGTGCATCCACATGTATGGACCACACACATGAGCCACACACACACACACACACACACGCACGCACGCACACGCACGCACACACACGCACTCACGCACGCACACACGCACGCACACACGCACGCACAGACACACACAGACACACACGCACACACACACACACACACACGGATTTCTTTGCAGCCCTCATGGCGGGTGGCTCCAGCAGATTGGAAGGCTGGCAGAGGTGGGAATTTCCACCCAAGAGCCTCTGAATCCCACGCAGGTTCTCCCTTCACATCTTCTCAGCCACCTCTTCTGTAGTCATGCCCACATGTGTTTGGTGTCACAGGAGATGGTGACATTCAGGGACGTGGCTGTGGTCTTTAGCAAGGAGGAGCTGGAGCTGCTGGATGCTGCCCAGAGGAAGCTGTACCGCGACGTGATGCTGGAGACCTTCAGGACGCTGCTCTCAGTGGGTGAGGACGGGGCCTGGGTTTCCCCAGGAATGCATGGGACCAGCTGTGTGGGAGCCCGGGGACTCCTGGACGTGTTCTCTCGTTGTCTAACTGGAAGCACTGGAGGTTTCTCATGGCTCCGTCCATCTGTGCTTTGAGCTGTACATGAGAGACCTGCTTGGTTTTGTCAACTTGACACAAGTTGGAGTCATCTGGGAAGAGGAACCTCACTTGAGAAAACACTTCCATCACGGTGACCTGTGGGCAATCTGTGTACCATTTGCTTGTTTAATTATTGCTGCGATTGTGGCCCAGGCCACTGTGGGTATAGTCGGCCTTGCCAGGTGGCTCTGAGTTGTGTGAGGAGCAAGCCAGTAAGCAGCAGCCCTCCATGGAGCCCAGGCTAGACCATTCTCAAACTGTCTGTCTCTGCCTCCCAGGTGTACCTATGACAGACATACACCTCCATACCAGCTGTTTCTTTTTATGTCGTTTGACAACGTAGACATGATCAGACATGGCTTTTCTGTCTTTCTCACATAGCGCAGGAGCCCTTCAAACCAGGGCTGATAGCCCAGCTGGAGAAGGAAGAGAAGCTTTGCATGGTGGAGGCCCCAGGACGTGGACTCCCAGGTGGGAGCCGAGCTGTGGGTCAGGGGGTGGGAGTTCTTTCCAGAACACGGGGCAGGGAAGTCACTTCTCCCTAACTCTCCACTGGGCCCCACCCGCCTCACAAATAGTTAATAGTGCTTAGAGCAGGGCCGCTAAGAGCTGAGTAAGGGTGCTCGTCACCAAGCCGGAGACACCAGTTCCATCCCTAGAACCCACCTGATAGGAGGAGGGAGAAAACTGACTCCCCAAGTTGTCCTCTGACCTCCTCAGTCATGCCAGGGCTTGACCCCAAACACACTCAGGGAAAGAGAGGGACAGAGATACAGAGAGAGAGAGAGAGAGACCACACACACATAGAGGGACAGAGTGAGAGCACACACTCATGCTCACAGGAGACATTTTCCACTTTGTAATGTCCCCTTTTGTTTTCACCATTGGATCACCCAACAATGTGTGATAAAGACACAATGACATGCTTAGAGTTCACTGGACCTTTCCATGGGGCCATATATGATATCCACATTTTTTAGGAAAAACCCGTATCTCTGAGTTTGAGCAAGTTCCAAGATAGCTATGGTTGTTACACAGAGAAACCCTGTCTCAAAAAACAACAAACAAACAAAAAAAACATATCTCCTTTTTCTTTCCTTTTCTTTTTTTTTTGAGACTGGGTTTCTCTGTGTAGCCCTGGCTGTCTTGGAACTCACTCTGTAGACCAGGCTGGTGTCAAACTCTCCAGAGATGCACCTGCCTCTGCCTTCTGAATGCTGTGATTAGAGGTGGCATCCCTACTGTCTGACAGAAAATCTAGATGTTAAGGTACCCAGAGAGCTGTGGTTCTGTGGCTTCTGTGTCTGTATCGGGTGTTTTGTCAGTACTCATAGAACAGTGTGACACGTGAGTCTCCTGCCGTGAGCCAAGGGTTAACTTCCAAAGTCTCTCAATAAGGTGCTCACTTGTGCATTTCTCTGGATTCTCATCTTCCTAGGAAGCAAGGGTGGACATGCTGTGGAATTAAACTCCTGTTGTCCCAGAGCATTCTCCTCCTGTCAGACCTGGCCAGGAGGTGCAGGCTTGTTACCCAGGTGTCAGGATTCCATGAGAAGATGTCCAGAGGGGAACACCGAGTCTCAGAACCAAGGAGATTGTCCTTGCCTGGTGTGCGCAGACATGCCGGTTCAGATTTCTGAAGACGGGAACTACGTGTGGCCTCCTGTAAATGATGACGCTGCCTCTATGAAAAATCAAGGGTTTCCTTCGCTGAGAGCCAAGCAGTTCTGGTGGGAATCATATCTCCATGGAGCGTGTAATTGCCAATGGGAAGGTCAGCAAATGTCCAGGGGAAATCACTTCTGCAGGTGTGAGGGCATGAGGTGGTTCTCATACCACAGGGACAGTGAGGGGTTACACAGAAAGCAGGGAAGCTGTAGTGTCCATGACAACGGAGAAGAGACCATGACAGTATCGTCGTTAAAGCAGGACTTGGTTAGGTTAGGGCCTGAGCCCTGCCCATGTACTGAGGCTGGAAAAGCCTGGGGCCATGGTCACAGTGAGGACCACAGCTCTGTCACACAGCAGCAGTTCCACTCCAGAGGGAAGCCCTGTGCACACAGTCCGTGTGGAAAGGGCCGTGGTGATGGCTCAGCTCGTCACAGTCATCAGAGTGTGGAGACAGGAGCTGAGGGTGCTGCTGAGAGCCCTCCTGTGCGTTCCCCTCCGAGAGAGTGTCCAGAGCGCGCCCTGTGCCAGTGCAGTGAGAACGTCCACCGCGGCTCCCCTCCTCACCCTTGTGGATGTGCCCACCCAGCCGATGCCTCCTGGAAGTGCAGCATCCCTGGGAAAACCCTGGACTGCTGTTTACACTGTGGTAGCAATTTTAGGGCCCACACTAGGGAAGAGCCCAACAAGTATGAGGAGAATGGGAATGTTTCTAATCAGAGTTCGTATCTCCAAGTCAATGGGAACACCCATCCTGAAGAGAAACTATATCCAGGTGTGGAGGGTAGGAAAGATTTCACACGTTGTTCAAGTTTTCACCCTCATCACAGAGTCCATGTGGAAGAGACTCTCTGTAACTCTGAGTGTGGTAACCACTTCAGTCTGCCCCCACATTTCCAGGACTTCCCAGCCATGCATCCCAGGGAGCAGCCTCCTAAACATTCACGCAGCTTTGGTCAAAGTTTGCGTGTTCAAGGCCATCAGCAAATTCACAGCAGAGAGAAACCTTTTACTAGAGAGGGTAGGAATGGTTGTAGCTGGAGTTCCAGCCCCAAAGATCATCAGAAACAGAAGCCACACAAATGCAACACCTGTGGGAAAGGCTTCAGTCACAGATGGGTGCTTAACATTCACCAGAGAGTGCACACGGGAGAGAAACCATACAAGTGTGAGGAGTGTGGGAAGGAGTTCAGCCAGAGTGCCTACCTGCATGCCCACCAGAGAGTTCACACTGGGGAGAAGCCGTACAAGTGTGAGGAGTGTGGGAAGTCCTTCAGTCGGAGTTTCTACCTGCAAGGCCACCAGAGAGTTCACACTGGGGAGAAACCTTACAAGTGTGAGGAGTGTGGGAAGGAGTTCAGTCGGAATTCCTACCTGCAAGACCACCAGAGAGTTCATACTGGGGAGAAACCATACAAGTGTGAGGTGTGTGGGAAGGGCTTCAGTCGGAGTTCAAACCTTCAGGGCCACCTGAGAGTTCACACTGGTGAGAAGCCTTACAAGTGTGAGGAGTGTGGGAAGGGCTTCAGATGGAACTCTAATCTTCAGATTCATCAGCGGGTTCACACAGAAGAAAAGCCCTATAAATGTGGAGAATGTGGCAAAGGCTTCAGCAAGGCTTCAACTCTCCTGGCGCATGAGAGAGTCCACATGGGAGAGAAGCCTTACCAGTGTGATGAGTGTGGGAAGGCCTACATTAGGTCTTCCAGTCTCCAGATCCATTACAGAGTCCACACTGGGGAGAAGCCATACAAATGTGAGGTGTGTGGGAAAGGCTTCAGCCAGAGGTCACATCTTCAAGCTCATCAGAGAGTCCATACGGGAGAGAAACCCTACACGTGTGACACTTGTGGTAAGGGATTCAGTAGGAACTCAGGCCTCCTAATCCATCAAAGAGTGCATAGCAGTGATAATTTCTGTAGTAGGGAAGAGTACAGGAGTGGTCGTCCTTCTGAGAACCCGTGCAGAAATGAAGGTCTGTCAAATTCTGTTGTGTTTTGTTAATGAAAATGTAGCTTTTGTATCTCACATGAATGTCAGTCCTGGTTGGCAAACAACAGAGTAGAGCTCTACCAAGAAGTTTCCAAAAACTCAACAGCCTGCATGTCAGCAGGAATTAACAGGAGTTCTATTGTAAGCAGAAGTTTCCTGTCTTGGAGCCACTCAGTCCCAAATACTGGGCAGGTGCTTCCCAAATTACCATCCAGTGTCTTAGTATTACTTAGAAACAAACACTTATAATAGCTCAGGCTAATTACAAACTAGGTTTACATTTTAAGTTAACCTGTATTCTTTCTTTACGCTCTGCCATGTGGCGGCACCTTTTTTCAGTATGGTGTCCCCATCTTGCTCTCTCCCATCTGGCCTGTGTCTCCTGAATCTGCCCCTCTCCTTCCAGACATCCTTAGTTTCATCCATCCCTGGCTACTGGCCAGTCAGCATTTCATTAAGCCAATTAGAGTGATAAATTTCAGTGTGCAAGATTATTCCACAGCATTCTTCCCTCTTTGTCTAATTAAAAAGGAAGGTTTGATGATACAGAATCGATTTCATTACGTATTCAGATATAAGAAATCAGAAATAGAAATCATCCTGTTTATATAACACATATTTACACATACAGCATAAGGAAGTGATGAGATTAATTAACTGTTGGTAGGAAGTATGCTGGAAGCTTCAAAATTTCATAAACACCATGCCAATAGCAAGTGTTTGAAAGCCAAGGAAATTATAAGGAACTGCCCTACTTGTTTTGATATAACCAAACTCCATTACCTGCAGGAAGTAACCCAAAAGTTACTCAAAGAAATGAAATTTGGCAGATGGATTTGTTTCATTTAGCAGAATTTGGAAAATTAAAATGCATACCATATCATAGATACATATTCAGTATTTCAATGATCAACTGCTATAAGTTCCAAAAAGGCTGATCTGTAGTCACACATTTGTTAGAAGTTACGGCCATGGTGGGAACACCTGAACGAATTAGGACTGGCGGTGCTCTAGTTTATGTTTCTTGTAAAATGAAATGGTTTTCTGCATATTATAATACAAAGCTACTGAAATAAATCAACCTGTATATTTAAAGATGTGTTGCTCAGAATGGAAACCAGGATATGTGTTAAGTTGGACAAGAGGTTTTGCTTTTGTTTCTACAAGAGAAGAAATGCTACAGATACCATCAAAACTGATAAAGTTTCAATTTGAACATGAGAGACCTCTTAACTAGAAGAGGTGATAGTTCATCAAACAGTATGACCAGTCGATCTAAACTAACTTATATGATTAACAAATGCTTTTCATTTGGACAGATATCACTTGCCAAAACTGGAACCTCCCCAAAGCTAGGGTTGGGGAAGGGTTTTGTTTTTGTCTTTTCAAGGGAATGAAGGCATCCTGCTAAGGAGTCTGAAGACCACTTGACAGATGAGACATCCAAAGAAAAATGACAAATCATCCAGAAAAAAAACTTCCAAGAACAGAGTAAATTGGCCTATTGGTATATCACATTTCCAAGAGGTTAAAATTTTATAAATTTTCCAAAATGTTTGTTTCTGCTGTTCTCCATAGACATATAATGCATATGATCTTTTGTAGTCCCAGTTCAATTGAAGATTAAAGCTGGCTTTGGAGTTGGAGTGTGGCTCTCTCCTTCTCTAAACCCAACCATGTTTGTTAAAGTAAAAATCCAAAATTTCTGTCTTATGTAAGAAGAGCTGCCTCATTTGGGGCAGAAGAAAAAACAAAAAGTAAGGGACTATTGTATTGTCACTAATCTCATAATCCTTTGACTCTATTTTGACTTTATAATTTTTCTTAATGTATAAATATCTCCAAATTAATAAGATTAATATATATATACATATGTATGTATTTTAAACTTTGTCATGATATAAAGGGTCATATAGAGTATTGACTAACTCAAGAAAAATGCTTCAACTAACTTCCTGTACATGATTTAGGGTTAGAGTCTCTATCAGGTAACTGGGAATTAAGTTTTTTTGTATTCTGGATGTATATAACAAAATACGGTCCCTTATCCTCTTCAAGATCTGCTGCGTATGATTTTTAAAATAAAGCCGGGGCATTGGTGGCACACGCCCTTAATCCCAGCAATCGGGAGGCAAAGGCATGTGGATCTCCGTGAGTTCAAGACCATCCTGGTCTACCAAGTGAGTTCCAGGACAGTCTCCAAAACAATACAGAGAAACCCTGTCTTGAAAAAAACAAAAACAAACAAACAAAAGTTTTCTGCACTGAACCAATACCATCCTCAACAACGTCCTTTGTAGTCTCCAAAAAGAGGATGGGGCCCCACAACAATGATTCCACCTGGATTGTGGCGATGCCACTAAACTGGCAAACAGCACCCAGAGATGGGCCGTGGACTACAAACTGCTCAGGACAATTTCATGGTGGCAGCCGAGATGGTCCAGCCTCACAGACCACTCCAGCCAGGACTTGAGACAAGCCCTGCACTTTCTGATTACACCGAGACTGGACAATAAATGATTCAACTAGGTCTCCCAGGATTTGATAATTTTGCCATTTTTTATCAGAGTCCTTTAAAGATGCCTTGCCCCCAGACAGCAGGAAGTAATTTTAAGAACACAGTGCCCACATTCCCAAGAGTTGGGGCAGCTGGTTTTTGGTCTTTCTTTGGATTCTGGAGATTTGTCATTGTTTAATGTGGTTTCTTACTCAAGAAAAAAAGCTGAACAAAGGAGATTAGATTCAGGGTTCTTGCTCTAAAAAGAAAGAGGGGGAATATAGAAATAAGAGGATAAAGGGTAGATTATTGAAACTACTCAGAAAAGAAAAAGGGGAGATATAACTATGACAGGATAAAGAGTAGATCATTGAATCTACTTTGAAGCCGAAAAAGCAACAACTAGTCTTAAATATTTTACATTGATATGGATTTTTTTTGTATATTGATACAAATTCGAGGTTTTTGTTAGAACATACTGTAATACGTTATTACACTTGTTCAAGGTATTGTACTTATACAGCTCATTTAACAATTTAATGCAAATTTCTCACCCTTGAAAGTTATTGCAAACTAATATAATAAACAAATGCAGGTAAATAGTCAGGTGTTACAATTGAACTTGTAATCCTGTTAGGTATGCTTTCAAGGTCAAATATATTTTAGATAGGCAGATGATCTTCAAACACTTCATATATCTTCAGAATATGGCATTTAAGATGTTTTAATATCATAGGTTCTTTTACTTTTTTATATGACGAGATAAGTCTGCTCCTGACAACATTAATCTACTTGAGAGAAGATGCTGTATATTGAAGAAAGTCCATATGGAGTTTACTTTCTTTGTGGCAAAAGTTAGCCACTGGGCAAGAAACTGCCCTTGCCTCAACTGCACACACTATGCTGTCCAAGTTGGACAAGGAAGGACAGTTCTTCAGAATCTCCTGCTTCACAGGAATGTCTGTCACATATGCTAGGCCTGTGGACTGAAGATGGGTACCCCAACATTGCATTACAGAGGAACCCTGGATGACTGTCCAGATAGCTAACTATTTTTGCAATATTCTTGGAAGTCTTGCTTGCACTTAGTGCTTACTCAGGTAATATTTCCTTCTAAGATCTCTGATGCAGTTGAAGATTAGATAGTGCTAGTTTTCCTTGATAACACATTCAGAAAAGAAACTTACAAGAGAAATATGAAGTGTATAAGGTTGAGAGACAAAAACGTTTATAGAAGGTGAATTGGGTACAACCCTTTGGGCTCACCATGAAAGAATAGATAATGGAGTGTTTTCTCTGAATTTGTCCAATGCAAATGGACTGGACATTGTTAATGTAATTCTTGAGTGTATACATTGTATATAGTTATTATGCTTATTGTATATACTTTTCTATATTATAACCTTTGATTTTTATTTAGACAAAATTGGGACATGTGTGATATTTTGTTTGTGTTCTGACAAATAAAGCTTGCTTGGAGGTCAGAGGGTGGAGCTCACCACTAGTTAACCATAGAGTCTGGAGGTCTGTACAGACAGGACACAGGGAGTGATAGGACTGGGTGGAGAAAGTGATAAGGACGGGAGAAAAACAGGATCTTAGCCCTTTCAGCCTGAAGACTAGGAGAGGTAAGACGTCTCTGGTGACTGCTGTTCTGCTTCTCTGATCTTCAGTTTTACCATGATATCTGCGGCCAGGTTTGTATTGACGAGACTAATTAGGGTCATGCTTCACAGGGCTGGCAGGCAGGGAGAATAAATAGAAGAAATCTGGGAAGAGAGGAAGGAGCAAGAAAAGGTACCAGTCAGCCAGCTACGCAGCAAGACATGGAGTAAGAAGGAAAGAAAAGACACACAGAAACAGAGAGGGGTAAGGCAAAAGGCAGACCACACGAGTTAAGAAAAACTGGCAAGAAACAAGCCTGAGCCATGCAATTGTAAGTAATAAGACTCCCATGTGTGTTTATTTGCGAGCTGGGTGGTGGGTCCCCAAAAGAATAAAGAGTAAAATCGACCAACTACAACCACCCATGTGAGATGGCTCACAGTTGTTTGTAAGTCGTTCAGGGGGACATGACACCCTCTTCTGGCGTCCTTAGGCACTGCACTCACATGGTGACTGTACATACAGTCAAGCACACACGAGCACACTATTTAACATTATTAGTTTCTTTAGTAAAACCTGGCTTTCTCTCCCTTCTATCTGTATTTCAAGTTCCTCCGTGCTCTTTTTGTAGAATAGCTGATGAGACTGAGTGGATGGTCACGTCTGAAAAGTGTCCCTTTTGCAAGATTACGAAGGGGGTGAAGGTTGTTGCGCTGAAGGGGAATAGCAGTCGGCGGAAGTGATTCAGACTAAGAGTCCCCAAACTCAGGTGACCATGCAAATGATCTCCAAGGGAGCCCGCCTGCTGGAAGGACTTGCAGATACCAGGAACTGCAGTCGTGAAGGCTCTAGAAGGGCGTCACTTAACACAGTCTCCCATAGAAAGCTGGGAAAGCTTTGTGGTTAGAGCACTTTGGTCTTCAGAAACGGTAAGGACGCTGTTGTGGTCCTGAAATTGTGACATTTTCTTACGGAAGCACTTCAACTCTCAAAAAGGCAAGGCGGAACCCTGAGAATTCTGGGAAATGTAGTTCACCACACTCCCATCCCCGGATTCTAGGATAACTTCCGCCGCAGGGGGCTCGGAGGGCCGCCCTGTTCTGTTGGGAATTTTGGGAAATGTAGGTCGGGAATCCACGGTATCCACGGAGAACCTCTGGAGTAGTCTGTAAGTCGCCCCTGCGCCCCTGAGGAATTCTGGGAAGTGTAGTTCAGGCGGCCCGTGCGGGAAGAGCCACTTCCGCCCCAGGTGAGTGAAGCCTGTGTTTCTCCCGGAAAGGTGAGCCGTCCCTCCGCCGTCCCCTCCCGCGTCTGCCGGGCACTTTTCGGGTTGCCCTGGGCGGTAGCCCGGAGGCGTGCATCCCGGGGAAGGGAATCCGCCTGACTCGGGCCTGGCCGGGGGCTCTGGGGGTCCCGGGCCTCGTCCCGCCCCGCGCGTCCCCCTCCCCGTCTCCCCAGCCACTGCCGCCCGCGGGGCCGCCGAGGAGTCCGCGGTCTGCGCCTCTGCCTGCGTTTCCCCGCGACACTGGGGACCTAGTGTCCCGCGAGGCTCCCACAGCCGGCGCCGCGGGAGACGGGGCGTTCCCGCTGTCGCTGCTTTCCCGGGTCCGGGGGCTCCAGGGACCACAGATGCCCGGAGCTCCCGCTGTGGCTCCCCGGCCCCACCTCACCCCTCCGCCCGAATCCTTAGCGGCTCGGCTTTGGTTTCTGTTGGTTCGATCGCCCCCGGCGGTTGCTTCCAGTGTCCACTTATGGGGGCGGCTGCTGAGGAAGTCCGGGTCTCACGCCTGCCTTCCTAATCCTGTGTTTGAAAAAGACGTCGGGCACAGAGGCAGCGGAACGCGGTGTAGGTGACCGAGTGAGAAATGACCCCGTCGTCTCTGGCCCAAAGTTAGGGGAAGGTGCTGTTTCTGGAGGTTGAGCTTTGCTGGGGCGAGGGTGTCGTGGGCTTGAGGGGCAGGTGGGGCTCCGAGGATGAAGGTTTCACCTTGCTGCAGTTTGCTCTCCATTGTTGTGCTTTAGATTCAAGATGGGAGCTCCAGACACCTGTTGTCATAGTGTCCCTGCTGTCATGGAACTCTAAAGCTAAAGGCATAAAACGTAAAGTTTCATTATTTTACAAGTAGGTTTTAAATGGCAGCATTCATCATGCTTCGGGCCCATGGAGATGGTTTGGCAGGAAAAGGCACCTGCTGCCAAGCCTGCCGACCTGAGTTCAATCCCCAGACCCACATGTTGGAAGGAGAAAACCAACCCCAACAATTGTCCTCTGACCTCCATAGACGTTATATTATATACATGACCATATAATAAGTAAATAAAATTTATTTTTAACAATCTAAAATGTGTACTGTGAGCAAGTAGATGTGTTTGTTGCAATCCCAGATCAACCAATAAAGGCAAACAAATTCTGAAGCTACGAGATAAAATGAATGCAGTGGTGAAAATACATACATACATACATTCGTACATACATACATACATATATGTGTACGAACGTACATACGTGCATACATACATACATACATGGGTACATACATAAATACATACATACATGCGTACGAACGTACATACGTGCATGCATACATACATACATACACACACACAACCCAAATAGAAGCAGACAGTGGGTAGGGTAACCAGAACCAGAGAGGACAAGTCTCAAGAAGAAGAATACAGTGGTGGGCTGAAATCCAGCCACCTCAGGAGTTACAGGATGCCAATTGTTCTGCTTTTACAACTGTTGCTGTGATAAAATCCTCTGAGGAAAAGCCGCATAGAAGGGAAAGAGTTTATTTCAGCTTAGAGTTCCAGGTTCCAGTCCATGCTGTGGAAAAAGTCACAGCAGGAACTTGAAGCAGCTGTTTGCATCTCACCCAGAGTGAAGAGCAGAAGAAACTCATGCATGCATGCGTACTTGCTTGCTGGCGTCTGCTGAGCTTAGTTTCTCTGCTCTTCTCCAGTTCAGAGCACTTTGCCTAGGGAATAGTGCCTCCTACAGTGGGCTGGGGAGACGGCTCAGAGGTTAAGAGCACTGGCTGTTCTTCCAAAGGTCCTGAATCCAATTCTCAGCACCCACATGGTGGCTCACAACCATCTATAATGGGATCTGATGCCTTCTTCTGGCTTGTAGGCTATGTTCAGACAAAGCACTGGTACCTAAAATAAAAAAACAAAGAACCAACCCATAAATAAAATTAAGAAAAGAAGATACACCCACAGGCTAAAGTAGATGATCGTTATTGAGATTCTGTTTCCAGGTAATTCTGGTTTGTGTCAAGTTTGTCATTAAAGCCAAACATCACACTAGTAAACCAAACACAGAGTTGAGTGGAAGTGTCACGGGCCTTCAATCCCACCACTCAGGAAGCAGAGGCAGGCAGATCTCTATGAGTGAGTTCAAGGTCAGCCTGGTCTACAGAGTAAGTTCCAGGACAGGCTCCAAAGCTACAGAGAAACCCTGTCTCAATAACAAACAACATACCCTACTACATTGTTTAAAAAGATTACAGATTGGGGCTAGGGATCTTCATGGTAATACACTTGACTTTTTATCCTAGCACTTGAAACAGCCAAGCAGATCTCTGCGAATTATAAACCAGCTTGGTTTACATGGTGAGTTCCAGCCCAGCCATAGTGAGACCTTGTCTCAATAATTGAATAAAGAAATAATAAGATCAAACTCTCTTCCTCTGTCTGTCTGTCTGTCTGTCTGTCTCTCTCTCTCTATATATATATATATGCATATATATAGTTATATAAACATATGTATGTGTGTATGTACATAAACACATAAATATATTTATGTATTCATAGATATATCAGCTTTAGTATCTGGTATCTTGAATTCTCAATGCCATTTACTTTAATTTTTACTTTGGCCTCTCAGCACTAATAGTTCGCCAGAACACCTTTTTTTTTCTAATATTTTCAAAATCTTCTATAATTTCAGGTGTTTTTTTTTTGTTTTTTGTTTTTTTTTTTTGGTTTTTACGAGACAGGGTTTCTCTGTATTGTTTCGGAGGCTGTCGGTCCAGCCTGGCCTCGAACGCACAAAGATCTGCCTGCCTCTGCCTCCCGAGTGCTGGGATTAAAGGCGTGCGCCACCACCGCCCGGCAATTTCAGGTGTTTTACCTTTAAAATATTGAGCAACAACAATTGAGCAATTGTGTCACCAGCTTCTGTCTGCATAGTCTTTCATGCATAAGCCATCTATAGATGCACTAAAATTTCTATAGGGTTTGCAGAAGTAACTTCAGGCAATATTCATGGAGTATTTTCTTAAAATCTCAAACAGGATCCTCTTGCCATTCATTAACCGTGTGGATCAAACAACCTGCATCTCATTTAGTGAAAGAAGAATGTTTGTGAACTCTTTATCAGTAAAGAATTGTTCTTTATGAGCTTGTGCCTTAGTAGCCATATCTCTAATAATCTAACAATGCAGTCTGTCTCAGGGGTTACATTCTTATAGAATTTAACCAGCAATGTGTAGAAAGAAACTTACAGAGGCAGATTCTCAGTGATGATGAGCAGACAGGAGCATACCCAGTGATACAGTTTAAAATCATGAAGTTTTCTCCTTAGTTCATTCCCTATGAAAATCAAACATTCATCTAAGCATTAATTAGATACTCAAAAGTGAACATTCTCTATACAACGAATTACTGATATCTCTGGGAGTCCAAACAGCATTTGACTTAATATTTTATGCCCTGATGTAATTGTTCTTTACTGGAAGCTGGGCTTGTTTAAACTCCCTCTTTCTCCCATGAAGGGACCATTGATGATGAGTTATTCCCACTCTTGGGGAAGAACAATAACAAAATTTTAACTAAATTCAAGCAAACAGACAACAAAGTCCTAAGCTGTGGGCTTGGTGCACTTGCTCAGGGTGCCGCAGTGAGGCCACCTGTTGATTCTTGGTGATCGATGCCACCGCCCTGTCCTGAAGGGCGATTCTGTGAAAGAGCCCAGAGGCAGAGTCAGCCAGAGACAGAGCTGACTTTTAACTATTCTCTGTTTCTTTTATAGGAAAGAGCCTTTTTTCTCCTCTGCTCCTACAGGGAAGAGGCTTCGTGCTTTCCCTTATCTTTCTTTTATGGGGACTTGTAAGTTTTAGGCCTTGTTTCAGTATTTTCTCCCTTTTTACCAGGAAAATCCTTCTTTCTTGGTTAAACATTTCCCCTTTTCTATAGAGAAATTTCCTTTTATTTCCTTTCCTTCCTCTTCTCTACTGGGAAGATTGCCTTTTTTATTTCCTTTCTTTCCCTTTACTGGGAAGTTTCCTTTTTCCTTTTTTATTCTTTGTCTCAAGAGCCATTCTATCTTTAAAAATTGTGCAGTTAACTTTTCAGCCTTTTTAATTTCTAAATTGGCTTTATTGACTGATGAAGGGGGATGAGAGTCATCTCCCACGTCCTGTCTTCCCTCACTTTCTCTGCCCTCTGAAACAGCATTCTTATCGACTGTGAAGGAGCCTTCTCCTTTGCTAACTGACCATTTCTAGCCTGAGTGTCTTCCCTTTACCTTCCTGTTCTACTTCAGTTACAGCTTCAAGTGACTTCTCACTCTGTAGCAGCTCCAGAGCTTTTAATATTAAATTACATAAAGACCAAATTTTTTAATGGTTTGGGCTCTCCTTTCTGATGAGATCTCTCCAAAGCTCTTAATATTTGCTTCCATACTATCACTTTCAATTGAACATGAGAAATTGCCTGAAACCAGTGGCAATACCATTTAATTAATACTGAAATCTCTGTGAGCTGTTTCCTTTTAACAAGTATTTTCATGACTGCATATACTGTTGCTCCTGAAATGACCCTGACGATCCTGGAGCCCCCTTACCCTGAGAGCACTTTTCCTCCATTAATAAAGTGGCTGGCTTCTCTGTCCTTCAGCAGATCCTTTGTCCGTTTTCAAGCCCCACGTTGGGCACCAAATGTTCTGACACAGGTGTGGGTTCATGAGGGTCTGTGGAAAGAAGACTCATGGGCACCTTTATCATGAACTGATGTCCTTAGGGCTGTAATCAGGACCAGCCAAACAACCCCGGGTCCGACCCTGAGTGGAGGAGTGTGGACGAGGGAATGCTACCTATCCAACGATGTTAAAGAAAACACAGAGACATCTGATCGTCAAGAGGGCATTCAGTTAATACTGAAAGCGCCCAGTTTATAGATGTGTCATCTTAAGTAACCATCTAAAGGTGGGGGCAATGGCAGAAGACATCTATTGATAAAGAGCTGATAGCAATTATTTCCCTTAATCCTAAAGGCACCCTTTGCTGCACATACACAAGCCCTCAGGCACCCCACACCAGCACACCTTGCTAGCCTTCAGGGTGGGTGTAGACTCGTACTGGCTCAAGTCTATTGTTATTTGGATAGGAGCCATTCTCCACGGAGATCTAAAGACAATAGAAATAATGGGCTCTCGTGGCAGGGTGGAATAGATTTCCAAAATATATGGGCCCCAACACACCTTAGAATAAATCTAGCCTTTCCTGGCTGCAGGGGGACTCAGACTCTCTTAGGGCTGAACGACTTTCCCTTAGGCCAGGGCTGCTTTTATTCCCCAATTTACACGGTAGGAAATTGATTTCCATATCCTCAAAGGAGTCTGGTTGGGCCTCCCAAGGACAATGTCAAATGCATATTCTCAATATGAAAATATAGCCACTCTCTGGGTGGTTTTGGGGCTTGTACCTGTGGGAAACTCAGACCAGGTTGACAAGGACGGCAACAAGAGAAGCAAAAGCTACTCAGAAACAAAAGATGGATTAGGGCTAGGTGCTGGAGAAGGTGGAGCCCAGCAGGAATTCTCCCACAGCTCATGCCCTTGTTTCTCTTTTCAAATTATAATGTTTATTTGTGTGTGTGTGTGTGTATTTGTGTAGTGCATGCCTATGTGTTTGGGGGGGCAAGTGCAGAGGCAGGAGGATGGTGTCTATCACTGCTTCATTTGCTTGAGACAGAACCCCTCACTGAACTTGGAGCTAGGCTGGTGGCCAGCAAGCCCCAGCAGTGCCCCTGTCTGCACCTCCCCCAAGCATGCAGCACGGAGTTCCGTTTTACACGAGTGCTAAGGATTGACCTCGGGGACTCCACGCTCCTGCCACGAGCCCCTTAGAATTCAGTGACTCCACCAATGAGCTGCATCCCCAACCCTCACTGGTGAGTTCTTCGTAGTGCCTCTACCACTGAAAATTGTGGGCACTGTTCCTGGGGAGACATAACCAAATGTTCACTCATTCCTGATAGAGAGCCAGTGACAACCCAAACAATCCAGCGTGTTGACCCAGTGACGTCTACTGGGGTTACTTACATGAATATGGGGAGGGGTTACTTACAGGAGCAGAAATGACAGCTGCATAGCCAGAAAACACCCCAGTGTGAGTGACAGCTCCCACTGGGGTCCGTGGCACTCACAGCCTGCAGGCCACTCAGCAAGGTGTAGAGTGACCCTCCCGGTGTGGTGGTCAGGTCTGTATTAGCCCCATGCTGCAGGGACCATTTGTCCCGGACTGATGTCTTTGGGGCTGCAGTCAGAACCAACCGAACAACCCCAGGTCCAACCCCGAGTGGAGGAGTGCGGATGAGGGAAAACCTCACTACCCAGCGGTGCTAAGGATGAAACAGAGACATCTGGTCATATGAGGAGGACTCTCAGTTAATACTGAAGGCTCATTTTCCGTAACCATCCAAAAGTGGGGGTAAAGGCAGAAGACATCCATTATCATTTATAAAAGGCTGCTAGCAGATGTTTCCTTTAATCCTAGAGACACTCCTAAGTAGCACATACTCAAGCCCTCAGGCACCCCACACCAGCACTAGCCCTCAGGGTGGGTGGATGCTCATCCTGGCCTTTGTTATACAGAATAGGAGCTAGTCCCCACCTAGGCCAGGCATCTGGCAGTAATCAGCCAACATCTAAAAGACAATAGAAATTCTGAGCTCAGAACTGTGGCCTGGTAGAACATATCTCCAAATTATTACATGGGCCCCCAACACCCACTACCTGAGTTGGTCCAAATCTCAGGTGGTCTCTGCTTTTGGGACCTCGCTGACTGATTGTCTTCTAAGCTGTGCTGCCACTCAGTGTTCCTTACTGCTTATAACTGTCTGGGAAGCAGAAGATTAGAGAACCTGGCCACTTTCAGGGACTTCCTGAAGCTTCCCTCTCTCATCCCATGCTTCTCCCTCATCTCATGCTTCTCTCTCATCTCATGCTTCTCTCTCATCTCATGCTTCTCCCTCATCTCATGCTTCTCTCTCATCTCATGCTTCTCTCTCCGTCTCTCATGCTTCTCTCTCATCTCATGCTTCTCCCTCATCTCATGCTTCTCCCTCAAGTCATGCTTCTCTCTCATCTCATGCTTCTCCCTCATCTCTAATTGTCACCTGCTGAATACTCGATGGCAGCTCTCTACAAGAGACTGTACCCTGCTCTGTGCTTCTGCAAGCTTGAAGGCCAGGACTGACTCCCAGAGATCTCCAAATAGATGACCTGTCATGTGCACAAGTATGGACATTCGCACATACACGATCACAGACTCACATGTGTGTGCATTCATATGTAGGCAGACGTGCGCATCCACACACACACACACACACACGCGCACGCACGCACGCACACACACATGCACGCACACACACACACACACACACGCACACACACGCACACACACGCACACACACACACACACACACACACGGATTTCTTGCAGCCCTCATGGCGGGTGGCTCCAGCAGATTGGAAGGCTGGCAGAGGTGGGAATTTCCACCCCAGAGCCTCTGAATCCCACGCAGGTTCTCCCTTCACGTCTTCTCAGCCACCTCTTCTGTAGTCATGCCCACATGTGTTTGGTGTCACAGGAGATGGTGACATTCAGGGACGTGGCCGTGGTCTTTAGCAAGGAGGAGCTGGAGCTGCTGGACGCTGCCCAGAGGAAGCTGTACCGCGACGTGATGCTGGAGACCTTCAGGACGCTGCTCTCGGTGGGTGAGGACGGGGCCTGGGTTTCCCCAGGAATGCATGGGACCAGCTGTGTGGGAGCCCGGGGACTCCTGGACGTGTTCTCTGGGCTTGGTTGTCTAACTGGAGGTTTCTCATGGCTCCGTCCATCTGTGCTTTGAGCTGTACATGAGAGTCCTGCTTGGTTTTGTCAACTTGACACAAGCTGGAGTCATCTGGGAAGAGGAGCTATTGGTGATAGCTGATGTTATAGGAGATACAATATATTTATTTACCAGAGAGAGAGTCACACAAGCTACGAGTTAGAAGCATGGCTGGCTTCCAAGAGAAAGAGCGAACTCCTTTTCCTTTCACTTCCTTTTATATCTACCTGTGCTAATTTACTTGTCCCTGCCCTCATGGGCGGATAGCTTTGTGGGGTTCACTCCTACAATTCCCCTTTTAGTCTAAATAGACTATTTAAATTCGATACAAACTCAAACATATACAACATATATACATAGAGGGTGATAATTAAGTTACAGTCTACTTATCCTAAGCTAAACATATCCATTCCACCTAAATTATAAACTTATTTGAAAGGGGTGCCTAAGTCTGAACACCTCCTTCCAATCCCAAGCCTAAAATAATTGCAAATTAACATTAACAGGTGTAAACTATCCTCTAATATCAATAATAGGGAGAAGGGACATGGAATTCTCAAATTTACTTCCTGCTGAAGTGGGACAATGACAATCATGGGGACCTGTGGGAAGAAATTGTTAATGTAACAAGAGTCTTAAGTAGGTTAATTAGTCTCTGTTTGGCAGGAGATGCTTGACTGAAGTTCTGGATTAGAGTTCTAATTTAGATTGAAGCTCTTGTCTGAAGCTCTGATCAGATTGTAAAAGATGCACTGTATCAGTTCCTTGGTCTGGAGATGTGTCGAGTGATGTAGTTCCAAACTGGTTTCAGGATGGTGCCTGTCAGGTGGGATCAATGATGTGGGGCAGTTTAGATGCATCCAGTCGAATCAGGCGGAGTCGGGGAAGTGAATCCACATTCTCTTTGTGAAGCAGTTGAAGGCTGCTGTCAGGAAATCCCTTTTTCTCTGGAAAACTGAAGCATTAATGTTAGCACAGAAATTTTTAACGTTTATGTGTATGAATACTGGGAAAGGCAACCCTAAGGAAGATAATAAACATGAAGGAGATTAGAATTTTGGAAAAAGAACCAAGTATACACAGATGACAGTCTCTATTTTTGTTTTCTTCTGTCTTATATCAATGGCTCTTTGATATAATACAGAAAGTCTAAATTGTATTTTAACAATATGCTTGGGTTTAAAGCAGGAGAGCCAATCCAACTCTAAAGCCAGCAATAATTAGATGAATTGGGACTCAAGCATATTAAGAAACAAAGAAAATAGAAATTATAATAACAAAATAGAGAGATTTGGACATTGATACCACATTGTATTATTGCATGTTTGATGGTCCTCTGGGTAGGTATCCTGTCTTCTTTAGGTATCCATATACCTAGTATTTTTTCACTTTTCGGAACTAATTTTCCTGTAAAGACACAAACAGAACACTTCTCTTTCCTTTAATGAGGTCTCCTTATACATAGCAGACCTTGTAGATGAGCCACCATCTTTCCTCCTCCTGAGACGTCTCCTGTTCTGATCGAATCTTAATTAATTTTGATGGAACCCAAAGGTTTTCTTCTCCTGTGGAAACAAAAGCAAAACCCCTTCCCCAACGTAACACATATTCTGGTTTCCAGACTGAGGGTCATAACATCCTTAAAATACACCGGTTGGTTCAGTTCAGAAGTCTTCTCTGTAGTCCAGTGTCTTTCTGCTGCAGTTTGTCCTTTTCCACCAGCATTAAGAAAATTCAACGTTAGTAAAGCATTATGTAACCTGTGTTTGGGGGTCGCTGTCGCCCCTGGCTGTTTATGAAGCATCTCTTTTAAGGTTCGGTTAGATCTTTCAATCACTGCTTGTCCCGTGGGATTGTAAGGTATGCCAGTTACATGTTTTATATTATAATATTGGAAAAATTGTTCCAACTTACTGGAGACGTATGCTGGAGCATTGTCAGTTTTTATTTGTGTAGGTATACCCATAGCAGCCATCACCTCTAAGAGGTGTGTAATAACAGAATCAGCTTTTTCAGAGCTGAGGGCAGTAGCCCATTGGAAGCCTGAGAACGTGTCTATGTATGATGTACATATTTCAAACTGCCAAATTCTGGGAAGTGAAATACATCCATTTGTCCCACGCCACAGTCTCGCCAGCAAGAACGACACAGGACACTCGGATCCTTCTGCAGTAAAGCTTTAATGCATCTTGAGAGATAGATGATCAGCTTCTGAGAGGGAGACCCCAAGCTAAGAAACCCAGCCCCTTATATAAGCCTAGGAGCTCCGAGTGAGACGTGTAGAGCCGGGATTGGTGGTTTGCTCATCACCCCAGATGACGCCACGGGAGAGGCACAGCTTAAACGGTGAACTCCAACTGACAGCGGATGTCAGCGCCATCTTCTAATGGCGATAGCAATAGCGAGGGCGGCTCCTCACATCTCCCCCTATTCATTTATTTTTGAAGCCATAGGACACCCACAACTTTGGAGTGGAGATAGAGGTCAAATCCCCATGTGCAAATTTGGAACATGTACAAAGCTCCTCTCCAGGGTCTTATCCCCAGAGGGAGCCCTGACCAGTCCCGATGTCGTTTTTCTGGGGGAAGGAGATCATGACATAGAACCTTCATGCAAGATGACTTATCTCCCAGGAGAAAGTTGTTATACCGCAGACCTCTCCTGTGCAGTGCTTAGCCTTGCAACTCCTTGGGCTGCTGAAGCCTACCCACTCTATCCCGTGCAATGAGACTAGCCTCGTGGGGTGCAAGAGCCGGGAGGCCAGCGACCTATTTAACATGGTTAACCAAATGTCAGGGGGAGGCTCCGTGTTCTAAGACAGCAAGTGCTTGTGCCACCATCACTTTGTCTCTTTTGTTTGGGCTCTGAGCTTACACACCATCCAAAGCATCAACACTCTTCCACGGCAGAGAACTAGGCTAAATAATCCCACCCCCACCCATTCCTTAAAATAAGAAAATGCAGATGAAATCCAGGAGGAGAGGCCTTCCATCAGAGAAAGATCCAGACGCGTGGAATTCACTTGCAGGATCGCCACTCTCAACTCACAGAGTGTCTGCTCAAACTCAAAAGTCCAATTCTGTAATAAATGTTGAGACAGAGCTTTTGACAGGTTAGCTGCTCTTGTAAAATTCTCATATTGTACTGAAGTGACACAAAGGCCAGGCAACTTTTGTTCACATCCCAATTGGGCCATCTGCCACAATATATCCAATTGTTCCTGAACCAAATTAATCTGTTGGTTTACCAACATCAGGCCTCCTTGTATCTGAGACCTGGCAGTGGCCTGTTTATCTAGGGCCATGGTCACAGTGGCCGATAGTTCATTAATGGTTTGAGTTGTCTGCACAGTGGCAGAAAGTGCAAGGGCCGAGGCGGTAACCGAAGCAGTAACCGCGGCGGCAGCTATCAGGCCCACAATAATAGCAGAGATCCCAAAAATCTCCCTTTTCCCTAAACAAACTCAAACTACTTGGCGCCTCAACAGGAACTGGAACAAATCGAGGCATGCGCATTACCAAAGCAAAAGGGTGCTTAATAGCATCCCAGCATAATGCATGAAAACAATTCTAAGCAGAGCAATTTATTTCTTTCTGATTCTTACCTGAGGTATCATTACTCACAACCCAAATAAAGGGCAGCCAAACACAAATTGGAGCAGCTGAATAATTAGTTCACTTAAAAGGGGTATACTTAACATTGGAGGAGGACCAATCAGATGATCCAGAGCTCTGTCCCTCACTCAGACTGTTGCCTAATGCCCCTTTCCAATCAAAAGTAATCTGTCCCTTCTCACTATATCCTCCAGCAATCATTGCCATAGGAGAAAGATCAGTACAGCTTCCATTAATTCAAAAGGATTAGCATTAGATCTTTCTGGATCCATATGAATAAAATTATCCTTTAATGAAGAAATCACAGTAAAGCACAAGCTTCCTACCAATGACAAGGTTCTCTCATCCTGAAAACTCTGTATCTGAGGATCTAAAGGCAAAAAGGCAAGCCCCAACTCTCTATTAGTTGTGAAAAATCTAGGGAACACCTGGGCATTATGCATCACTGGCATCGGTAGGGGAAGGTAGACATGATGGCCCACCGTAACTCTCCCATCATACTAGGAACCATCATCCCGAGTAGGAGAGTCTTCATCACCCACTTGGCCTCCATCCTTCTTATTCTGGAGTTGTGAAGGAGCTCTTCGAGTGAGTCTTTCAGGGATCCACAGGGGTTTTCTTCCTCCTGTGGAAAAACACACACAGCTCCCCTGGATCTTATAAGAATAGGATCCGGGCCTTTCCAGAGATCAGTCAAGACATCTTTCCATTTTACCATTTCTTTTGGCCTATCAGGCTCTAAACTGTGGCGATCGGCCGCAGTGTGGCCTTGGGCATCAGAGTTCAAGAAATTAAGGGTAAAAAGTGCCATGGACACAGCAACTCTTGGTACCGAGGGTAGAACATCCTCAATACTCCCCTTTTGTTTAATCAGATATGATTTGAGTGTACGATGGGCACGTTCCACAATGCCCTGTCCTTGAGGGTTATAAGGTAGGCCAGTTAGATGGGTAACATCCATTTGCCGACAAAACTGTCGGAATTTTTGAGAGGTATATGCTGGTCCATTGTCTGTTTTTAAAATTCTGGGTTTTCCCCAAGCACTCCAGGCCTCAAGGCAATGTTGAATCACATATGAGGCCTTTTCCCCTGTTAGGGGCGTGGCGAACATTACGCCAGAACAGGTGTCAACAGAAACATGAACATATTGAAGCCTTCCAAAAGAGGGAATATGAGTAACATCCATCTGCCACATCTGCAATGGTCTAATGCCACGTGGGTTTATTCCCACGTGGGGAGCAGGTAAGAATTCGCAGCAATTCTGGC